ATCCAGGGGCTCCACAGCTGCTCTGGGCACCTGTGCCAGGGCCTGCCCACCCTCACAGGGAAGAATCTTTTCTAGTATCTAATCTAACCCTACTCCCTGTCAGTCTGAACCCGTTCCCCTTTGTAACTTTACAGGTGGGGGATTTTTTTGTATGTTAGGTTGTTTATTCATTTCAGATGAAGGAAAAAATTGCTCCCTGGCAGCAGTGGAGTTAAAATTATTTCCAGTTATATCACCAGGAGTTATTGGCACTACTCTCAGACACCCTTCTAATGCCAGACAAGGAAATGATAAATACTTCTTTGTCTAGAACACAAACCACTTGTCTATCCACAGATTAACCCTCTAACCACAAAACATCATCCAAAATCTGCTCTCTTCCCTTCTGGAGGCACTCGTGGGTGTCACCATGCCAGATGCTGGGGAAGAGACAGCAGGAATAAATAATGCTCCAGCACTCAGCAGAAGTAAATCCAAGAGTACCCACGTCTGGTTGAATCTCTGCTGAGCAGGACTCGCTGGATGTGAAATGAGTTTGAGATTCTCAGTTGAGAAGAATCTTGTAATAAAGGAGCTGCTCATTTCCTCAAGATTTCTGATTTGGTAGAACATGGTCATTTTAGAAATGTGTCACAATCTGGCTAAACAAGTGAACACATGGGATTTGTGTTTTCAAATAAGTCACTACCATATACGCTTGGAACCATTTCTTGAAGTTTGATGTCCATGCCATTTTAATTAATAATTTTGAAACAACAACAAAAAGAAAACCCCACCCAAAGTCACAAACATTGTGGTCTATTTACCTGCTAATTCTTTCTTTCATCCAAGCTGCTCCTGCATTACAAAAGTGTAATAAAAATCCCCACACTGGTAAGAACTAGTAAACATTTCTTCATTTGCATAAACAAGAAACCCCAAACAAATACAAGGGCCAAGGACTTTCCCTGGCCAAGAACTGGTTAAATAGTTTGAAACTATGCTCAAGATTTCCTGAAAACGTATTTGTCTTTCAGCCAAACAATACTGTTAAAGCAATGTAAATGCTTTGCTTCCAAAATGTGCTTTTTCTGTTCACAGAGCAGCAGTGTAAAAATAAATCATCCATGAAGCATATTCTCATTTTTAATTTCATCCCTTGATAGATCAGTTGCTTCAAAATCCCTTAACAACCAAAGAAAGAAAAGTTGCAGGGTTCACATTTGAAAGATTGTCGATTGTGCAGAGCCAGTGCTGCTAATCCTTGGGCAGGTTATGGGGGCTTCTGTCACCCCCTGAAACACTGGGTTCTATTAACACCAACCAAGAGTCTTTTTGGGTGTCTGCAAGGCTGGAAAGGCATTTCCCTGCCTTCTCACACCTTGCTTTTCTCTGGCAAAACCAACTGTGATCACTCAGCAGGTCCTAAAGAACTAAGTCACAGAAAAGGAACGGATTTTGTATTTCCAGGTGACGGGAATGAACAAATTACCTGATTTGGGCAATCACCAAAAAGCACATCAGCGCCAATTTCGCTGCACTTTGCACTGGACCATCAGGTCACTGCAGGACTAGAAAATTAAACAACCCAGAAGGTCTTTGAAGGAGTTGAGCATGCCAAGGGCAGGGGAGGGGGGGAAGGAATCCACTCTGAGCTTGAGTTTGGCAAAATGAAGCTGCTTTTGTCCTCAGCTCTGCTGCAGAGTGAGGAGCAAAGGGCACCCAGCTGCTGGTGGGGTGGTTTGCACACCACAGCCACATGGTCACGGATCTGCTGTGTTCAGGAGGTGCTGAGAGTTTGAATTTATTATCAGGAAACCAAAACATTTCACTTAGTTGTTTAACATGCGAGATTTTCATGAGGGAATGAAGGTTAGTTACATTTCCAACAGGATTTCAAAACTACATGTTGCCTGTTCAACTCCAAGCCAAATGTAAGGCTGAAAGGTTGAAGAGACTACTCAAAGGAACAGAAGTCAGAAAGACAATAACAATACAGTACCTAAAAATGGGTAATTCACACATTTTTGACATTTGTGTCTTGCATAGACAAATACTTATTCATTTTTTTCCTCCCAAGATGACTCAGCTTCAGAAAATAAAATGTTAAATCAACTTTAATTACAATGAAATGCATGTGTTCCAGTTTTTCAAAACACCAGGGTGTTCCAGATTTTTGTTTGTTTAAGTGCAACTATCATCCCTTGGAAAGGCTTTGTTTTATCCCATGGGCTGCCAAGTTCCTAGTCAGGAAGGTGGACTTGTGTTTCTTCCAGAAACAAATCCATGGATTATTTCACAGAACACTCTGAGGTGGAAGGGACCCACAATGAGTCCAGCTCCCCAGGGAATGGCCCACGTGAGGATCAGAGCTGTGCCCTGACCCACAGAGCCAACCTCAGGCCAGGAGCTGGGGTTTGAGCCACGTGTGCTCCCATTCCTAAACAACATCCATCAACGTAAAGCTACTCTGGAAGCACAGGAACTGGGAACTGCAATTCCTCGCTCAGGTCTGGCTCCTGGCTGCATCTTGAACATCAAAATAAATTTATTTGTTGCACCCCGGTCTGCCATGAAATCCTGCCCTGCCAAGCCCTTCATCCACACCCAGGTTTCCACTGGAAGAAGATCCAGGTGTGCAGGCAAGGTAGAGCTGGATCTCCAAAAGATTCCTGACAGAGAGCAGGTACCAGGAGAAGGCAAATGCAGCCTGACATGGATCCGTGTGGAGCTTCCCTGAGGTCAGCAGGACTCCACTGAGACACAAAATCCAGATGGAGAAAACCTTCTGCAGAGCCAGAGCTGATGCTGAGTATTTTCCGACGTGATTATTTCTTTGTAACAGTCATTCAGAAACTTATCCTGATCCTTTTGGAATTGATTTGCTGAGCTGAAATGCTTCCAAAGTTAAAAAAAAAACAAAAAAAAAAAACAAAAAACACCAGAAAATTGCCTTGACCCACAAAGGAATATTGAAGAAATTCAACTGAGAACCCTGTTTTGGGTTAGATTGAAAAAAAAAATAAATTAGAAGTTTCAATAATTGTGTTTGCAGAAGAATCACATTGATTCAAAAACCAAATTGGTTCTATTGCATATGAATATGACTTTAATTGGGGGCAGGGGGAATTATACACAGACTCTAAGTCAGGTCCCCTGTAAAGACTTTTTAACTAATGTAAACATGTGCCTTTCCTGAATGGTGAAGCTTTGCTGAAACCAGCAGTCTTTCCTACATCGCAAAAAAAAAACCCACAAAAAAACCCAAAAAACTTAAAAAGAACCAAAAAAAAACCCAACAAAAAACTAACAAAAACAAAAAACCACCAACCAACCAAACAAATCCCCCAAAAACAAAAAAAAAAAACACAACAAAAAAAAACCCCACAAAAAACAAAAAAAAACCACCCCCAAAACAGAAACAAAAAAACACCAACCAACCAAACAAACCCCCCAAAACCAAAAAAAAACACAACAAAAAAAACCCCACAAAAAAACAAAAAAAACCCACCCCCAAACTACTCTACTTGTTTTTTCTTCTTTTAAATAATGAAAAGAACAAGCACTTCCCTGCAATTCACACCCACTACAGAATTCTCACTGAACTGAAAGAAAATATTTGAGTTTCACATGTTAAGCACTACTTTTACACTGGTGAAGCTTTTTCAGTTTTAAGAATTCAAGTCCCTATATTTTTTTAATGTTCCTAATCTGACAGTGAAACTATTCCATATTCCCCTTTCACAGTAAACTCTGTCAACTTCAGTCTCCAGGAATTGATAAAGTAGCTGAAGACAAGGTCATGTTTTGGAAGAACAGAACTTCTGCTGCATGTAAGGTGGGGGGAGTCAAATAAAATAAAATAAAATAAACCCTAGAAAATGGCTTTTTTTTCTGAAAATGAAACATTCAGAAGTTTGCAAACCCTGAGGCCTGGTTGTTTCCAATAAAAACCCCAAGCAACCCAACAAACATAACCTGTTATTTAATGGAAGTGGTGGGGGTAATGAAGCACTCTTGGAGTTAAAAGCAATTAAGAACAAAAATACAGAAACTGAGTTCCAGTAATCTAAGCTATTTTTTGTAGGGGCATTAGGCTGAATGCTTCCAAAGGAGCAGGATTTGTACATGGTTTGTCTTTGAAAGTCAAACTGGATTTGACAGCAGCCTTTGAGACAGCCATGCTATGTCAAAGCCTTCCTAATTCATCTTCCATAATTCATTTACTGTGCTGTTTAACAAACGTGGCACATTAGTGGCAAAGCAGAGAAGTCAGAAGAAAACAAATTCTTTAGAAATCACCAGTCCAGTGGAGCAGATCATGACAGCACCAGAACTGAGGAAGATCCTCAGCCAGGACTCAGTGAGAGCCAGAGCAGAAACACCTCTTGTGCTGAGTAAAAACCATTTATAAAAAAATAACTCCTAGTCACCAAAAAGTCCTGTTATTCTCCATGTGTGTATGGCAATGCCACTGATATTTCTTCCTGAAGCTTTTCTTCCTACCAACTCAACCTTGCCTTGGAAGACAATCTGCCATGGCCAGCTTCCAGCCACTTCAGCATGTCCAGCAGCACATTCCTTCATCCTCCTGAAATCAAGGGGACCTCAGCATGTGCCTGAGTGCTCTGAGAAGCAGAAATTAAGTATTCAATTAAATATTTGCATCTGCCAAAGGGCTTTGTTCAAATACAGTGTCTGAAGGTTCTAAAGGTGATCACCTTTCTCCCTGTCATGTTAGAAACACACCCAGGTTTGGTCAGAATCAGAAGGAAATTCTGGCTTTGATCTAAGCCAACACTGTGACAAATGGACAGGGACAAAAGAGGGTGTTGATCGTAGCATGAGGCTCTTGAGTCTCTTATTTGTACTCAACAAAGGGAAATACAAAGTTCCAAAAGCAAGTGTTCATGAATAGACAATCACAGACTTCAAACTTTGGGAAAATGAAAGAAATTAACTGTTACCACAACAACAAAAAAAAAAAAAAATCCCAAAACAAAACCAAACCAAAACCCAGCTGTTTTTATCTCCAGCTCTTTGTTTTTTAAATGACACACAAGGATTTCCTACTCTAACAAAGCCTGCTGTATATTCTGGTAGTAAACTTCAGATCTGAAGAAATTTTATATAAATCCATGTTATATTTTTCTTTTTGTATTAGGGGAAAATATTTCAAATGCAATAAAATAGCAGAATTCATGACTGTATAGTAGGCAACTTTTCATTTTTTTAGATTCAGTTGTACAAACTATAAACTGTTAAATTTCTCTAATAATTGGAAAACTTGTGGGTATTTGAACTTACTTACCTGAATACTCATTTAGCAAATATTTTCAGATACAAGTCTAGATACAGAGTTATGCAATTTGAATATTAGTTTACACATAATATAAATCAATGTTTGACAATATCAAAATCCCATCAAACAGTGGGCCCTTCTTATGCTATTATCAAATATAGTATATCACTGTGGGATAGCTGAGAATCATAGAATGCTACTGTAGGCTTGTTTATTAAATTGGGTCAATTTTCAGACCTTCCAAATAGGAATACTAAACATTTATTTTTCCCCTCTGGAAATTATTTTTTTTTTACTCCTGCTTAATACAGTTGTCATCCCAATTTTTAGTGAATTTATAAAAATATTTTTTTTTTTTTATCCAATAACCCCAGCAAGGTAAAAATAGGAGTTTTTATAGCAAATGATAAACAGGCTCACGGACTATGAGAGAAACTAAACTTATTTAAATTGCCATACATTCTCTACTGAATCACACATCAACAGTTCCTTTTTATGTGTGTTGCTGTCCACCTCAGACTAGCAGTTTTTAAGGTGCAGAAGCATCTTTCAAATATATGAATCTAACTCAATAATCAAGTTTCACGCACTAGTGTCACATGCTTTAAATTTACATCACCTGCCCATCAAAAGCTGTGTTAAATAACAGCACTAATTGAAACTGCATAATTCATCAGAAACTGCAGCACTTCCAATCCAGAGAACAAAGGGGTGCTTACGTGGTTCTTTATATTACTAGATATAATTTTCTGAAATAAGGAAAGGAAAATAAACAAAGAAAAAAAAAACAAACCAAAGAAAAAAAAAACAAACCAAAACACATTTGAAAGAAGTTGCTGCACCTGCAAAAACACTCTTTAAGCTTACTATGAAATACAAAAAAGTGCACCCTTCTATATCTACATATAAAACATATTAGAAATAAAACTTGTGTAAAATGTTTGCTGTGCAAACTATAAAAAGTCAGTCAGTCAGTCCATTCTTTTTCCTAAGTGTTTTTTCTCCAGGCTCTCTGGCTTCCTACTGCAGAGAGTCGCTGTTATCCAGGACCAGCCCACTGATGTTCGCTGTCGAGAGGTCTCCGCCGTCGTCCTCACCGCTGTCCACGGACTCGTCCTCGCTCTGCCCTGCCATCATCACCTGCTGCACAGCCAGGGTGGCACCATCCGAGGACAAGGACTGCAGACTGTCTACATTCATGTTCACTGGGGCTGTGATGGTCACGACAGCACCTGCAGGAGCACAACCACAGCACTTCAGCACCGTTCTGGCCTGCTGCTTATGTGTAACGGAGCTTTTCTCTAATCAACAGCTTCTAATCATTAGTTTCTCATCAACAGTTGCCCACCACAGAAATTTAAGGAACTACATTAAAATAGAAGATATATAGGTTGTCACACACTTAAATGTCAGGAAATGCCAGAATTAGGTTGGTCAGGAATGTTAAACTTTGTGTTGTGAATCTTAAATTTGTTTTATGGACACCCACTACAGCAATTCTCCAATCAAGTCACCACAAGGCCATTTCTGCAAAGTGTTCCAGCTTAATTCCTTGCAGAAAAAGGGGAGTGATCAGATTCAAGGTAACTTCAATGGATAAAGCTGTTGTCAGATCCAGCAGAGGCTGAAGGAAAATTTGTTACGAACTGGAAAGAATAAAGCACCAAGCAGCAGGACAGAAAGGATGATCCTGGCATTACAGCAGTTGTTTATCTTTCTTAAATGAAATCTTTTTGTTTGATCTGACACCGAGGAAGTTACTTCAGTCAGAGTCTGTGGAGGCTCTATGGCATCTTCCTGCCTCTCATTGTTCAGCTGGAAGCACGTGAGGCAGATGTGGAACTGCAGCTGCTCAGCCATGAAGCTGAAGCTGCAGCCCAGTGCTGCTCAGCCAACAGGACACTCCTGACGTGCACACAGAGAGAACTCAGCTGTACATCTCAGTTTTACATCTTTTATTCTGTCATTTCATAACTTTGGAAACAAAAGCAAGTTTCTCAACATGAATTCCAATACAACACCCTTGCTTAAACAACAGAAAAGTGTTAAAGAGAGGAAAAAGTGACACTTTTCTTTTATACTTTCCCAGATTAAAACCACGTCTATACTGAAATATCCAGAAGTTTCCTTCCCACCACAGTCATCAAACCCTCCCTTTCCCTGTCAGAGAGGAATTAACTTTATGATCCATGTTCAGGCAGCTCTCCTCACCATCTGACATCGTGAGCTCGTTCGATTGCTGCTGAGCAACTCCTGAGGCAATGGAGTCAGGCCAGAACCTCTGGACTGGTCGGTTCTGGGCTGTTTTCTTCTTTGTTTTTGGAGTTTCAGAACAACTGGAATCCAGCATTGGCTGAAGAATTCGCCTTCTAGCATTGATAAACCTAAATACAATTGAGGGCAAAGTGAACTTAGGACCAGTTGGCTGTAAATTCCATCTCTCTCTCTCACATTCACAAAGTATGCAGCAGGAAAAAAAATTAGGAACATGAAATCTTCTATCAGCTGGGCTTCACATTCTTTTTAAAGTGTAGAACTACTCCTAGAACACCAGCATCCTTCAATTTTGGCAAACTAGCTAAGAAAGCACTTCTATCATTTTGCAGCTAACAGCATTTTTCCCCCACCTCAGAAGGAAAAATTCTCCAGACAGCACAACAGATGTACACTTCAGGATCTTATTAAAAACTAAGCACCAGAAAACCTGCTGACAGCCCAGCTCAGAAAGCTGATACTCCTCTCATTAGGGTTCACCTAAAGTCTAGCCCCTGCCTAACCTGCTTTGTTTGGTCTGGTTTCATTTACTCCCTTAAGCTTCTGCATTACTTATTTTACAGGCTCCCTGGCTTTCCAAGGGCTGGCTCCTGATCCAGGGGATGACAGCAAACACATTTGTCACATCTGTCCTGGTTCCTTTTAGTTCTCTGATTTTCACTTGCTTACTTTAGCATGCTAATTGCTGCCCTTCCACTTTCTGCTAGTGAACAAGAAAATACTGAAACTGAATCAACTTCAACATAGTGAGCTATGGCAGGGAGTTGTGACAGAAGACATCATCCCTAAATACCACAAAATACATCCAGGTCCCAAATTTACCTGCAATGGGAGGAAATCAGGTGCAGCTGGCAGGTTCCTAAGTTGTAACAGAATGCTCTGCAAAGACAGCAGTCAGATCCCAGCACAGAGCTCCAGGCCACATGTCACACAGACACAGTCACCCTGTTCCACTTTTGGAACCAGTGCTCTGTCACTATCTTGGCTATTTCCCCCCTGGACCCCTCCACAGCCTCACAGCCAGTGTCATCTTTGAAATCTGAGGCAGATCCCAGTGGGACTTTGCTGCAGCAATTTTAGGAACTGATGCCACAAGGGGGGTAGGACACGTGTCAGCACCTTCCCTCCTCTCTTCTGCAGGGCAGGTGTCTTATCTTACACCTCCAGGAAAGATAAGACATGACAAAACCTGCTGAACCATGAACTGGTGTAGCTGAGGAACTGCCTCTCCATTCAGACATCACTGCTCAGGAGAGCATCCTTTGATACAGGAACAGAATCTGTTAACAGTAACTTTTTAAACATCTGCAGCCACCAGGCCACTAAATGCCTTTAGACTTCAACTTCTTCACTTGCAGAAGACAGATCAGAGTACTTCCATCTCTCTCAGCACTGGAACAGAACCCAATTCCTACTCCTGCAATGTTTTCTGGAGTCCTTATATAATTTAAATGGCATGAGTATTATTATACCTTATAAAAATAACATGCTTGTGTGCCAGTGCATAGCTCTTGTATTTCTATACATGCTTTGTACCATATGTAGAATATTTAAGTTCAACTCCAGATGTCCAATTATCCTCCTCACTATTTCTGAGCTGTGAGCATGTGGGGACAAGGACAGATATTAAGTTAAGGGCTTTGCTCTTACCAATTGTTAACCTGGAGTAGTGTCAGATTTGTTTGTGCTGCAATCTGCTTCTTCTCATCCTCTGTTGGATATGGATGCTACAGAGGCCAGAAAAGCAAACAAAAAAGGCATAAGCTTGTTTTCCATCTCTTCATCAAAAATAAGAACTCCTTTCTTACATCTGATTAAAGAGGGTGGATTAAGGCCACCTGACTCATTAAAACACAAACCTTAGAAACATCACAAACTTTTACAGATGAAAATAATTCAACAAAGAGTGCTTTAGTGCACAAAACCTTGAGAGTGTCTGTGGCACCATGAAGCTGCTGCTGTGTAATTCAGAAGAAAAAGCTTCTCATGGCTGACAGTCTTTATTAAAGAGCATGATCCCTGGGCAGCACAGCATGTGAGCAGCTCTGATTAGTTCTGCTGGCCAGGGCAGTGTCATATGAGAGAAGTGAGGAGCACTCAGTTAAATAAAGGAGCACTGAGTTAAATAAAGCTGCTCTAAGCAGATGAGGACAGGGCACGTAACACAAGAAGTGCACACACAGCTTCCCTGGATCAGTTCTCTGCTGCAAACCAGTTGTAAAAGGCAAAATATCAATCAACTCAACATTGAAATAGCTTGGGAGCCATTTATCCTTTCAAAGTACTCATGCAAAGGGAAGACATTTGAAAGCACAAGCAGAGAGTGACATGCTTGGTACACATCAGAAGGATTGGAAAGAAGATAAAGACAGAAAATTTGAGACTTTTCTCACTGCAAAATACAGGTGGAATTACTTTTCCTTGTGCCATGAACCAGGGTGTAGAGAGCATTAAGTTCTCAACACAGTGAAAGGAAGAAAGGCTCCTTGTAACAACATTTATTGAGACTCTGCAGTACAAATCTAACATATTTATTAAAATATTAATAAAAGTCAACCAACATTAGACCTATGGAACTACTCCAAATGACTCCAGGGAAAGTTGAACTGAGATTCCATAACTGACAACAGAATAAATTCACCTCATTTATGAAAAGAAATTGTAAGAGACCACATGAAAGAGCTACATCAAAAACTGACCATGCTCAGTCCTTACCCCTATGTGCTGAAAAAGCCAAGATCTCATCACATTTGTAGCGTGCTTGGGAAGAACTCCTCTCTTATTTTTTGATGAGCCATCATCTTGATGCAAGATGCCTAGATCTTGGTTTAATTGCAACTGGAGCTGCATATTTAATTTTAGGAGAAATAAGGCAGTTAACATAGTAATGGCAGTTCTGTATCAATAAATGAACAACTCATTTATAGCAGGAATGAAAGGAAATTAGGCTTGAATATCTTGAATATACTCACTGTGTGCAAACATAAACAACTATGGAAGCTGTAAAATATTACTGATTTAAGACTTAAATGAAGGATAAAAATTAATTATTATGTTGCAGTTTCAAAAAGAGATGCTAAAGGTCCTGCTAAATAAATGCATTAAGTTCTCATAGAGCATTAAGATCCATACAGCAGAACCTATAATTCACTTTACAACATTCATACTGCTTCATAAATATTCCTATTTCTTTCTTTTTGCTTTTCACTTCCTATGGTTTCATCAAATCATTTGCACGTTGGTTATCTGAATGTTTGGGAATACATTCTTAAATGCTTATGCAGAAATAGAAAGAAACAGCACAATTTATGTGCTGTCATATAAGATTCTATTTCAGACAGTTGTAACCAAAATAATTCTAAATCAGGTTTTCCAGACAAATTGGAGCAATTTCTTAAGCCAATCAATACGTAGGAAATTAGTTTTAAACAAGGTTTAGGCTATCAAATTACTACAAATATGTATCTGGAGCACATTTTAATTTCTAAAGTAATGTCTAACATTCTAAATAACCTGCTTGCATAAGGAGGCTTTATAATGAACTTTCATCAGCTTTTCTACAGTGCTTTCCCCTACCTCCACAGCATTCTGAAACACTGAAAAAGAAGACACTGGAGAAGGATTTTCAATTAGTGACCTTTGCATAGCTGGGTTTGGAGACTCCAGCTAACATCAAGAGTAGTGACAGATGTATACAGAAGGTCAAGTCCTTTTTTACTTATAGGCCAGAGGCATTATTTCCTCTCAGTATTTTATTTTTTTTTCATAAAAGGTAAAAAAACCCCAATTTTTCCAAACCCCTTCAGTCCAGGAGAGTAATTTTACACATTTCTTTCTGAGAGGTGTGTGAGGACAGAGCTGTCTGTGTTCCAGTGGGGGACATGGCTGAGTACAGATATGCTCCTGCCAATTCAAAGAACACTCTGTGCACACTTTTTTGGTTGGAAGGCCAGAATAAGGGGGAAAAGAAACCAGTGAGTCAGTGATTACCAACAGATTTTATGCTGTGGAGATGGGAGCTCCTCATTCACATTTCTAATTAAATCCAGATTCCAGGAAGATTTGGTTTACCACTTCCAGAGAAAACTAGCAAGGTTTTCTGCACCAGAAGATGGTCTAGTTTTCATGTTTCTTTTTCTTCAGTTGTTTCTTTGAACTCTTCAGATCCAACTCTTAAGGGTCTCCCAGAAAAGAGTGCTGTCCCTTATATTTTAGGGTATAAGGAGACAAAATTGAGGAGCTCCCAAAGTCTCAACTAAATATTTTGAAGGTTTTATAGAAAAATGCTTCTCAGAATAGATAAACTCTGAAATACATAGTTTCACAGTTCTATTGGTTGCCATTGTAATAAAAAGTCAAATTTCCCACAATAACAGTGTGGCACCTTAATGCAATACCTCAAATCTATCTATCCGGCCATAAACAAAGCTCAATGATTAGAAAAGTTATAATCATTTAATTCAGAAGGGTTTTTGGTTTGCATTGGTGTTTGGGTTTTTTTGGGGTTTTTTTTTGTGTTGTTTGGGTTTTTTTGTTGTTGTTAATTGGGTTTAGAGGTATTTTTTTTAAATTTTAGTTTGGTGTTTTGTTTTTTTGTTTTTTTTTAAGGGGTTTTTTTTTTTTAATTGATTTCATGTAGCTATAACTCTTCTGGCATCAGTAAAGGAACACAATTAAAAGGTAGGAACTCTGAAGAGCTATTGTGGCAAGGGGGACCTTATGACATATCCTACAACCTGTACTTCCCTCAGCAGTAGCTGCACCAATTTACAATTAATTACTCTGTGTGTACACAGAGCTCCTTCTGCCAGTGTGTCAAATTTAAATCAAAACTCCTAAACCCACTGAGATGTATTTCCAGCCAGAACAACATTCTGTGGAGCTCATGGAACAAACCTGAGAGTTCTGGATCCGAATAGTCCCAGGTGACAGTGCCTGTGTCACCACTTGTCCTTGTGGAGTGACCACAGTGACTGGCTGATACACTGTCCCCCCTGGAAGCAAAACAGAAACACAGATTATGGGGAAGAAAATTCCCTTCAAGTATTATTCTCTTTAAACACATCAGCACTGCACACCACACAAGACTTTTAATAATATATCAATTACTCTTTTCTAGTCAGCGTGCAAGATGTGCTCTTTGCCACACTGAAATCTTCATCCATTCACAAAAAAACTGTACAAAATTTGATTCTATTTCCCTGTATTTTAGGCATTCTAAATCTATTTTCAAAGGAAAATGCCGTGATTATCAGACTATAAAACAGTTCTTCATGTTGTTTTAACTAAGTCTTCAACCAACAAGGGTGACAACACCAAAATCACACCTCAGTGTGGCCAATTCTTAGGGCAGCTGGGTTTAATTTAAAACCTTGCTGAGAGGCAAGACTAAACACTTCATCTCAAATGTAATTTCCATATAAAAAGGACGTCAAGCATTTTACAGACTTGTAGGTGTGGTTCCAAACTCCAAGGAGCATGAGGCAACCAACAAGTGCAATGGTTTAGGTAATACATGTTTTTGTCAAATAGAATTCTTTTTAAAGGCAAAAAAAAAAAAAAAAAGTCAAACACCACAGTCTATGAAAATTTAACAAACGTAGTGTTGCACATTAAGATCTCTTAATATTATATATGTAACTGCCACTCCCACAGACATCTTTGGAAAACATATAAATGAAACAAACATTCATAAACCAGTAAAGCACTTGACTGTACTACAACAACTTTTCAGGTATTAAAACACACTTTTTTGAGTATTTGTGTAGTTTTTGCAACAGCCATAAAGGAAACCAAGATGAAGAGCAAGGTGCCAGTTGTTTTTTGTGTGTCATACCTGCTACTGTTGCCATAGTTACATTTCCCTGCTGCAATGCTGATGCTGGCACCACGATCCCTTGGGGACTGAGTGTGCCTGCAATGGCACTTGGAATTTGCTAGAAAAATAAAACAATTAGTTACGTACAATTTTGTAACTTTCTTTTTTTTTTT